CTGTCTATGTAGCAGTGCACGAGTCTGGTGGGGTAACCGGACGAGCAATGCTGAGGCTGGGCTCAGAGTTTTAGGTGAATGCTGTCGTCCACTGGAGGAAGTGATGGACCTCCATGGATTACGGCGGTTGGAAAATGTGCTACTCATATCATCAGACTGATTGCCACGGTGAGCGATGTTTACCGAGGCAGGTAGCGGTTGGAAAAAGATCAAGGGCGGTCAAAGACCTGGCATGTGGTTATGAAAACCTTGACCAGGAGACTGGATCACATAGGCTCTCCGATTGGGGACCTCGGAATGATCGTAACCGATGATTAGAGACACTGAGTGATATGGCCGGGTGTCGCAAACAGTGGCACTCATGCATCTTCGCATTATTCTTGTAACTTCAGTCTATGTAAATGCACTATCTTGCACGTGAACCTGCTGTTAACATTCTAATCTTCGTTCTGCTGTTTATCATCCAAATAGGCGGCCAAAAGACAGTAACCAAAATCGGCGCACGAAAATGCATGGTTGATGATTATAAGAACCGAACCGAACTAAGGCTTCTTCGTATTTGGTTACCTCATCCCATCCGGGTTCAGTTCGATCTGATGTTTTCAACTGCCACTCTGAGTTGGTTAGGTGACCACTTACAAAACAAATCAAAGCGTACGTAGAATAGCAGAGTTGACGCTGTACAAAGGTGTAAGTTGTATTCATGACTGTATTCTAAGCTGTTGATCTATTCACAAACCGACACATACATTTGGATCGCTTCCGAAAGGACATTAGTCGAATGGTCGTTATTGCACCACCAAACTGATGCCACTTGGTTCTATTTGTTTTTAAGTGGTAGGAGAAAATCTCACACCTTGCAATTCGCTTTTTTCCAACCGGCTACAGTTAGGCTTGTAATTAACTTAATCCGTTTATCCTGGAATTTATCCCTTATTCTACGATGCCAATCAAATAATAAGACTTGGTAACGGTCAACAGGAAAACAGGCCCATCTTTGTAGTATTAGAACACAGATCGTAGGCTAACATATCTTGGGCTCGAACACATCACCCTCTCTTTTAAATACAAATCTGATTTTAGTAGCTTGAGAACGAACTCACCGAAAACACATGTTCGCCTACGATCTGTCATCAGAAAGACTGTTGCCAATGAGTTTACTGAAAATTTCCGCACTGCATTTCAGAGTATGTAGATTGTTGATGGAATCCTACCATAGTTCTGTTTTGTCTGATGTTTGTGGTAGTGGTGGTGGTGGAAATTTAAAAACTCGATCAAATAAATCATCGATAGACAACAGAAAGGTTATTCCAGACATCCCGTAGGATTGAAAAGAAAGGTTCGCACTTTCTTATTTTAGTCTGTCAGCTCAATATATCGATCATTCAAACTGAAGAACATGCACGTGACTTGTCACTTGTTGGGCTCTGAGGTCAAACTTTGTTATCGTTTAATCGATTTACCATTCCTAAACTTTGTTTAAATGTTTACAAACTGCTATCCATGTGCACAGTATGCGTTTTACTGGGCACATACCATTGCATTGTATCAGTGACTGATCGAATTGTCACGTAACCAAGCAATGATGGGTTAGTATTCACGTGGTTGCTTTCTCGATCATAGACTCAGGGATTCGTTCAATTGACCATATAGATGTTCCACTGCATCTTGTACCCTTGGTAGATTTCCCTCACTTTGTGCCAACTCAGAGGCTATCGTACAGTTATAGAGTCCTAGCACCACCGAGTAGCGAAGCAGTTTGACAGCTGGGAACACAAACACTGCCTGTGCCGTGATTCGTGTCCTGGTCGAGGTCAATTAACTTCGAGGCCGAAACCCGTTTGCTCGACTATTGTATTTGCGTTCTGTAGGTCATCACCATCGGTTTGGTTCTCGATGAAGCTGGCGGGCGAATTGTAGTAATCGTAGCAACTGTAGCATGCACTGCTCACGAAATACGAATTACGGATTAGAAATCAAGGACTAGCAATCACGGACGCAACGTAAGCACTGGATCACACTGGTATTTGCACACAATGTCCCACGTAACCGAGACGAGAGAAACAGGCCACGGGAATAGCAATTCGTTCATTGAAAGAAATTAGATGGATTAAATAATATGTACAAACAAATTCATTGGTCATCCAAGCCTCTGCGAATCGCGTGCTAGATCAGCTTCCGTTTGGGTCGCACGGTTTCTGGTTGGTTGGTACAATCGACCTATGGTTTGTAGTCTAGACGTTGTGTGACACATACGCGCTTTGCTGACATCACCCGGCAAGCTAGGTCGATCACAGTTGTCCGAAAACTGTAACGTGTCACTCCGCGTTGTGCGTCATCTCGTAGGCTAGGATCACCACAGGAATTCTGCTCTGAAAATGCAAACTTGGGGCCGCAATGTATTGTTACTGTGTAAACAATCCCATCAAGCACACTTCTAATAGAACAACGCGTGGAGAACAAGCACGTCGTCGGGGACTCTTAATCATCACATTCAATATCACCCCGCACCCATCCCTATTCCGAGTAGCTCCGTCGATCGGCTTATCTAATAAAAAGTTGTGATCACTGAGAATCCCACATCCGGTCGGAAGACGAAATTAGCCCCGAATAATCAATTTTCCCTTTCCCAAAATACTTTTCTATAGTTCAGTTATTCTCGGTCACTTACGCAACATTTAACACATTTGAAATATTCGAAATCCAAGTGACAGTATGGTTACCATGGTAAATTTTCATGAGCCCATGGATCAATTATTTTAAATGCAATCATGGTAGCTATTTTGAAAGTATTTTCTTGTTGGCCAATTTGAACCCATAGACACCGGCTGCTTTTAATTGTGTTAATTGTGTTTACGCAGTCGCACTCAAACGGAGTTAGCAGTTGTAATAGGTAAACCGAAAATCCATTTTATTCATCAGTGCCACCATGTGCGACCGAGCAACGGGGTGTACCGAATGGTCAGCAACATCTCATCCGGTGGACGCATCACGGATGGAGTGTCATCTCGCATACAGAAGGCTCGGTTGGTATTTGTCAACTTGAGACATTTGTGGTGCCGTCGTGACATCCGGTTGTCTGTGAGGAGTCGAGTGTATGCCACGGCAGTTCGGTCAGTTCTGCTATTAGGCACAGAAACTTGGTCATTAAGAAAACAGGACAAAGACAGAGTGTTGGTGTTTGAACACAGCTGTCTACGTAGCAGTGCGCGTATCTGGTGGGTTAACCGGACGAGAACTGTTGAGGTTAGGCTCAGATTTTTGGGTAACCGCGGTCGCCCACTGGAACAAATGTTCGACCTCCATAGATTATGGTGGTTGGAATATGTGTTACGCATGTCATCAAATAGGTTACCACGGCGAGCGATGTTCGCCAATGCAGGTATCGAGAGGAAAAAAGTCAAGGGTGCTCAAGCTAGGACCTGGTATTAGGGTTTGAAAACCCTGACCAGGAGACTGGGTCA